ACTATTACAATTTACAATGCAGAGTTTGAATTGACAGGTACTCACATCACTTCAGTGCGATGGTGCAGAATAATGCAGGTTCAATTACACAACTATTTTGAGAACGCTGAAAGTGAAAATATTAAAATTATAGTTGATAGAATTGAGACGAATTCGAAAAACGATCCTGAGCTACAAAAAGTGTTAAAACCATCGCAGATATATAGCTGATAGCTGCACCTTGATGAGTGATGACACTGTTTGAAGTAAAATTAATTCAATAAATACTCCCAGACAGCATCTAGTAATAATAATATTTTGAGACAACCAATTGCTGTAAAATTGTCATAACGTACGTATATGTTTAATATTAAAAGTGGATTGGTATATAAATATTATTATTTTATATAACTTTATCACTTGAATGATCAATTAATGCTACTATTCGTATGGGTAATAAAATTATAGTATAAAAAATGTAAGCTTCGAGAATCTAAATAGGTATCTGCCATCTGGTATATATTAATCGTCAAGAGATTGCTCCTGTGCAGTAAATCACCATATTGTACTATACACCAGTACATAAACTGATGAAATGCACACACGCCACAGGGACCACTTATTCGTCATACACCTATAAATAATATAATACGCATATTGTGTTTCTCAAAGGATGGTTTAATTATTATCGTGGACATGGGCACATGGCGATGAAAGGAGGGAGACAACACGCTGCATTATATTGTATACCAATACATGCACGCACCTTGTGATACCTACCTGCTTTTAATCTAGTGCTACTACAAAACCGAATCGAAAACAATACGCGTTTTATTAAACAAAATTTACCCATATAAACACCCGGGTCCCCCATTCGACCAAGTCACTGTGGTTTTTGGATTGTTCACTAGTTTATTCGTGATGACTTCATAATATTTTGCACACATCAAAGATTTGTCTGTGTTCATTAAAATTCATAACATTTATATAGGTAGGTTAGGTAGGCATTTACACTCAAGCCAGCTCGTGAAGGCGGAACTTGAGAGAGTTCAAATCCACATTAGACTCATAATATTAAACACTCTCATCAGGGTAAAATGTTCAGAAATGACAGAAACTATTAAATTTAAACTGTACCTCTATATACCTAATTATACTTTTATAACTTATGACTCGAGACTTGCAATAATATTGGTAAGAATTTAAAAAATAATTGAATTTATCTTGATGAAACTTTATTGCAGCTGTCTGAAAAATCAATATTGGTATGTACATCATAATATATTACAAAGGGAGATTATAAGCCTAATTATTTTCGTTCCCAAATATCTTCCATTGGTGGACAGCGTTGTGATTTGTCGACATTGTTCAGTCGTTGAAAATAAGAAACTAAATACATGCCGGACATAAAACTGATAAAACGCCCCGCGCGTAGTCGTAGCAGTTATTATATTATTATTGTTGTTAGGTTAACGTCAGAACATATTTTTGTGCATTTTTATTGAAATGGTTTTCGATTTCACCGTCATATTGTTATAAATTATAATAATATATGCATATTATGCGTATGCCGACTTGCACTTATACACCTTACAGTATAGTATTAACGACTTACAACTGTCGGTAAATAAAAGATTTACGATTTATGCATTATTCTGTATGCGTATATAGGTAGTAGAATATACATATAATATAAGATATATAAAATAAACGGATCCCATAAATGTGAATGCCCTAAACAGCGGTGTAAATATAAAATATTCCGCGAAATACTATATATTATATTACCACCACTGCAGCAGATTTATTTATATATATCTGGATTTCTTAATCTTTTTAGGGTCATAGACCTATTTAAGATATTAATACTCAATACCTGTAAAAAAAAAAATAGCTGCAGACCCTGCTTAAAAAAACAATTTTTGTATTTAGTTATTAAAACGAACGTAAATCAAAAAACGTTACTCAGGGTGTGTGCCCGAACAATGGACACACTTGTACAACAATCGTTCCTAAACGCATTTCTGTTATAGCGTACCTACGTACAAATGTACAATTCCAGATTCCCAACAATGTTCGGATCAGCTGCGCCGTGAGTTAAATGATAACCTGAAGTTAGGTACCTGCCATAGGTATTGGACAAAAAATGTACCGGATAAGTGTCGCTAATGAACAGTTTGCCCGTCGACGATAATTCATCATGATAATTATTGGTAATTGCATGGTAACGGCGGGTCTTCTTTTTAAAAATAAAAATAATTTAGACAATAAAATTATAAATCATGGACTTGAATAAGTTATGAATAGATCGAACGACCATCTACAGAAGATATAAATATATAGTGACCGAAACTTACACGAATGTTTACTTCTGAGGAAATATTTTGGGTGCAACTTGTGGAAATTACAGGAAACTAACAAATAAAGCCGTTTTTTCTTCGACAAAGTTGACTCGGGCCATGAAGATTTAGTGGGTCACGAGTCAAAAAGATTGAAAACCATTGAGATAGACTACAATAGAGGTGCATATGAAACTGTCTACCCCGGCAAGAAACATGGGAACAATAATGGTAACAATAACTACCTATATAAAAATGACTGAATGACTTTGTGCATCCAGGCATCCTATACGCGTAGACTTACCGATCAGCGGATAATCTTCGGCAACCGGGCGGCACGTGTCTTCGGTCTGGAGGTCATCAAGATTCGTTTCACCACTGAACGTACGAACACACGGCCGTGAAAAGCGGAAAACAAAACTTAAAAACGGTGAGCAATTGAGAATAGGACGGCGGTCGGCGAGACGGTCTCCGCGAAAACGGCCTAGACGGCTTGAAGACTGACAGAAAATATTGCGGTTACCTGCTGACCGCGAGTTACCGTAAACGACATGGTCAGCGGTCGCTGCGGCAGTGATGCTTACCGCGGTAGCAACGCGCAGGTTAGTACCTCGAGCTGGATTTAGCCGATAAATGGTTCGGCGCCAACTTACGGATAAGCGTTCATCCGTCCGTAAATTCCACAGTGAACTTCCATAAAAGCGGGACCACTATATCTACGCGTGTATCGTGTTCACGAAAAATGTTCAGCTATATCCAACAACACGGTTACGTGGTTAATCGTGTAGTAACCTAAATATGTAACCAAACAATCACAGCAAAAGATTTAAAAGAACGTATATAATGGAAACCCACCCTTATTCTGCGCTCCTCAGTAGGCTGGCAACCGTGGTTATAAACTCGGCAAGTGGGTTACCCGGGGTCCTATAAGCTTCGACTATCCATATCATTGTGTTGGTATGCGTGAAGCTCTCGGAGAGCGGATTACCGCGATATTTTCACGTTTGATCATCGCAGTGTCACAACAACTGAACATCGGTCGTCGTCACTCGTCGTCGTCAGTTTTCTGCCGTTCACCAATATGGTAAATACGGCAATGTGCAGTTATGGTAAAACGAGTCTGCTAGTGGTGGTTTAGCCAAGAATACGTTAATATTTTGATGGATGTTTTAAACATAAATATATATTTTACAAAATTATCCATCGCGACTCCGTTTTTTGTTGAAGACATTTCGAGAGCGGAGGTTATAATCCTCCAATCCTCCCTGGCTACACCAAGCTGGCCGTAGGTATATACGATAAACCTACGGATATTTTCGAGCCTCATCACTTCTGGTCTGGCGGAACTCGTCTCACCTGCAGTTTCTCTAGGACGGCTCATCAAGCTGGAAATGCAAACTTCAATCATCTATGTACCTATATTATTCACAGGTGTTAGGACCTAAACCGTCGTTTCCTACTAATAATAAGGTATATTTCATAATGTAGGCTTATAATAATTAGTGACCAAATTGCGGTCAAAGCTGTGCATCCGAAAAAGGAATAAGAGTGAAACTATATGTACCATAAGCATTAAACCTATTATTTATAAAAGTTTGTAAGATCTAAGGAAATTGATAAGTGACTGGTTATAACTATCGTAAGCACCTTTGGTCGTTTTTGAAAATTGAGCACGGTGGATTGTCATTTGAAATTCGAATCAAAATATTATATAGGTACTGCATAAATATTGCGTCCCCACTTGTTGTCTTGACCCAATATTTAGTATCGGTAAGAAGAGGGATTTATATGTTGACTGCTCTGAATGTACAAAGGACTTTATTTTTATTACACTTCTATAATATACTCGTCCTGGTAGGTTACCTACTCTTAATGTTTTCACACTGTTAAAGAATTGTTTGTTGAGCCCTATTTTTATTCAATCTAAAACGCCATAACTAATTATTGTTACGTTCTGTATTACATTTTGTAAAAAATGTGTTTAGTACAAAATTCGAGGCATAAGTGTGTAATTTTGAGGTCTATCTGGCCTAGGCCAACGCTTGGTAAGTTGCGGCACTGATATACGTATCACAACATCATAATATAACATATATATATATTAATATATTAGATATATTATGTACATAATTATACATATAATAGGTATATACCCGTAATATATTTAATACTTAATCGGACAAGACAATATTTAAAAAATATAAATATCACACATAGTACATTTAATAATACAATAATATATATAAATAAATCAACAAATTACAATAATAATACAGATAAGTATGATAATTTTGATTTTCTAAGTTTATTTATTACGTACACTCACGGGTCACGTGTGCGTAAGAAACGTATAATAATATAAAACTAATAGTAGGTTTACAATACAATAATAATATAAATATAAGGAAAAGAAAACGATGAGATACGTCGGAATGCGTGCGTCGAGGAATAGTAGTTTGACGAGCGCCAATGGACGAACGAAAAAGGCGAACGATGGAATTCGAAACAGTTTCAGCGTTAGATCAAATAATAGCTAATGCGGTAGTAATATTATAATCAGCTAGTGGCGCATTGGTTTGTAATCGTTCTTGAACCGTTCTATTATAATAACAATTATAATTCTAATATTATACATTGCTAAATCGCTGAAGGGATGTACTTATGTATAACGCTCTGCTGCAGTGGAAAACGTTCCGAAAGGTTTTTCCATTATAGCTCGTTTGGAATTAATCTTAGTTAAATATTATGATTCACAATCGTTTTATTTTGACTTTTTGGCGCAGATAAACAAAAATTGAATCTCTATACAGTATATTGTGTATAATAGACGAAAAAATGAGGAAGATGTTAAAACAAAGATTTAAAGATAATGATGTAAGTATTAGAATAAGTTAACCTATAATAAGTCTGGGATCATTATGACAGTTTTTAATGCTTATCCTACAGACCTACGGTCAGTATTAGTTTAAAATAGTTACAACTCTAAGTAAGTAGTTAAATCACTTTCCCCGATGACACTATATTTTTTATTCTTGTCGAATCGATACGACAACTACAGGCCAAGAGACAATTTGTGGAATTTGCTGTTATTTTAATAATTTTGAAATCATCTGTTGCATTATAATATTTTATGATTTGAATATTGTCATGATTAATATTGCGAATATAATTAAAATAGCTAAATTTAAAATGTAAATAAGAAAAATTACTGTAAATCACAATAAAACAAATTTTGAGCAATTTAATAATTTTATAGATACCTAGTGTCTATTATAGAAATGTTTATTATTTATCTTAAATAATCTCACTCAGGGTCAAAAGGCGTCTTCAAAATAGTCACATTACAAATAGCGTTTACAAAATAAAATGCTGCTCATCGTGGGCCTCCCACTGTCTCACCAACACACCATTGACAGTTGTAGGTATTATATAAATGACAAAAATAAAAATTTAATAATAATAATAATGATAATAATAATAATAGTTTTAGCACCACCACTGTAAACCTGTATGAAAAGACACTGTCAACAACATATGATATACTAATAATTCATAATAGGACGTACGTCGCTACAGATTTATAGCGTCTCTGGTTGAGCGTAGCGCTTTATACGGTTTAAGTGGCGACCCTTGTTGCCGTCACGTGGTAGTCCTCTGCGGTAGTAATCAAATAATAAGCATAATAATAATTAATAAGTGGCGACGCAGCCGATCAGTAGGGCCTCCAGACTGCCAGGTCGGTGTGCTGTTGCTGCTGTTGCTGCCGGTCGCTGTACCGGCCTCCAATGGATATGATGTCGCCCGCCTGATGGTGTTCTTCTAGTGATACGGCGGGGGGTGGTGGTAACAGCCCGATTTCGATGCCGCGCGCGTTCCCTCTTCCGCTGCCGGCCGCGCTGATGGTCAACTGCGAGGCCGGATTACCGGCAGCCGCGACCGCGGCCAACGCGGCCACGTCGTCCACGACGTACTGATGGTGTTCGGCCGCGGACGGGTCCTTGATGCTGTTGTTGTTGTTGTTGTTGATGTGCAATTGCTGCAATTGATGTTCGGCTGCGGATGACGGCGCGTGCAGGTGCAGGTGTATCTGGTTCTGGTTCACTGTCGAGTACAGATGCGGGTACAGCACCATCGTGGTGGGCGGCGGCACAGGTGGCGGTTCGGCGGTCATCTGCACCGGGTGGTGTGTCGGAGGCGGTGGCGGTGGCGGTGGTACCACTGCTGCGTTGTACTGGTACGCGACCGCGGCCGCATGGTGATGGTGATGGTGGTACGACGACGGATGATGGTGATGGTGATGTTCCGCGGTCGGCCAAGACGACGGGTAATAGCCGCCACCGACGCCGACGCCTGTTTCCAAATCTTGGTTATGGAGTGCCGGTTTTAAGAGCTCCTGTTGGTGTTGTTGGTGGTGCTCATGTTGCTGTTGTTGTTGATGTTGTTGTTGGTGATGGTGGTGGTGTTGGTGTTGTTGGTGCGTGCCGCAAAAGTCTGCCATCTGGTTGTTTTGCTGTACTTCCGGATGGCCGCTTCCGTACACTGCAGCACAGACGAATAAGAAAAAATGTATTTTATTACTAATTGGCGAATACAACAAATATTTATTTATCAGAAATGTTTAAAATAATTGATCCAGTTGAGTAATAGGAAGGCAAGCGCAAAGAACTAGTGTCAACTGTATGTATATATTATGCCGATCAGAAAGTTCTGCAATAGCTTAAATAGAACAAATAGTTACAATTCGTTCATCTTGCAAGGTTTTTTAGGCAAAATAACAACCACGGATTAAGTATTAAATGAAAAAAGTTGGAAGGAGAAGGAAAATTCAGTGTAAAATATAAATGTCTTATTGATATTTTGGGGCCCTAACCATTTATTGGACATAATATAATTTATCCAAAAAAGACTTAATTTTTAAAAATCGACCGAATTTATGGGTGCTAGGCTTCACGTTTAATAGGTAACCGCGTATAGATGTGTTACCTAACCTTGCGATTTCAGGTTTACATGTATGGAGCTTAAAAAAGAGCTTGAGAATGCCAGGGCCATGGAGCTTTGAAAAAAGATCGAATGTATAAAAAAGACATTTAAAAATAATTTCAGTAGAGATTTCGAAAACAAATTATACATTCGGTAGTATTTAAAAAACGGCTATTCATCAAAGGACAAAGAAAACTGACACAGAGTGTCAAGTGTAATAAGTGTACTGGGTTATAAATTGAGCACTCTTATTTTGCTCAAAATTCAAGCACTTTCATTTTTTTTTTAACAATTTAAGAGTAACCCGAGATACGAGGATGTACAAATTTCTTTCATGGGTATCTTGTTGATTTTTTCATTTTTAGAACATTAATAAAATATGTACATATAAGGTGTATAAAAAAATCAATTATAGTCAACCGTGTTAATAATATATTGTATCCAGCCTCGAGGTTAGGGGTCGAAATGACGCTTATGCGCCTCCCCCCGTCGTACTATTCTTCTGAGAAGCAGCCTCGCCGGTATCTATACTACCCTCGAGTCTGGATACCGGTAACGGGTGAATGCGTATACCTACCTAGGACCTACATAAACGAATATGACGAACATCGGATCGTGCAGGTCATACAACCGATTACACAGGTGATGGATTGTCGAAGGACATCGGCTCAACGGTTACTGGTAATATACATCTGGTATTTATATAAATAACTGATCTAAAGACATAGGTAGGTATTATATCTTGTTGGAAAGTAGGTATAGGTACATGATATTATTTTATGTAATAAGTAAGATCCGTTCGCTCATGCCTTTAGTACATATAGCAATACCTTTTATGTACTAAACATTACAGCTATACCTATATGGCTAACACACGAGACGGGACCACAACATTTATTGCCCGTAATGACGTACATACGTGTAGGTACATAACCCACTCCTTTGGGACGGACGTATAATGTTATGATGTGGCGTTAACGTGCTCGTGTATTGTATATTACCTGTGTGCTATATAACGAAATTTAAAGAGTTAGGTATAACGTAACAAGGTCTCTCGGCGAGTTTTAGTTCCGTCACCGGTTACGTTTATTTTTTCTACTTACAGGGACCTAAGTATATCTATTAGGTACACCCGGGGTCGCAGATTCCGACGGTGACGACGACAATCCCATTACGATTTACGGGGCGGTTTGTGTGCAGACACACACGGTCATGAAATAGAAGGTTCATACTGTAATGACGTATTATTATGAAGACGACGTAAAATATATTAATGACACCCTTCGGTCTCGATTATAACCTAACCACACGTGGAAATTTCATTATATTATACCGATCGCGTAGGCGGTAGGAATCCGACGGTCGCGGTTATGTGATTTTTAACGTAAAATATTATAATATACAAAATATTATACAGGCTGTATAACCACGGTTATCTACTATACCACTGACTTCACCAGGGAAAAATTCAACAAACATCAAATACGGCGCCATGTATTGTTGTATCTCTGTTTTACGGTATAGCTCAACTCACGAGCAAATCGTCATCGAAGTACCTCGTTTTGTGAACTATGATTTGACCCCGAAATGGGCAATGCGTCTGTGAATCAAAATCAGTCGAGTATTTTTCTAGGCTATGAGCTACAAATATGAAGACATGTTGCATTTTGTAGTACACTCAAATGGCAAACCATTAAATATTATTTTATTTAAAAAAAACTCCCATAGCAACGCATGGCGGGTCGGTTAGTCTATAGCATTTTTTTTTTCGAATTTTATTTCTATAACCTATGGCAAATCTACACGTTGAAACAAAAAAATTATTCGATTTTCATCTGTAAGCCATTTTATACCAATCTTTAAAGGTTGAAAGTGAATCAAAGAATACTCTCCGAGTCTCAAAGAATACGTGTGTAAAACTTGATGCAAACTGGTTTGGTAGTTTCCAAGCCTATATATAAGCCCAATTTCAATATAATCCATTCATTAATTTACTTTTTTAATTTATCATATTATCTCTTTTCATTTACTCGTTCGTTTACTATATATATATTATATATTGCGGCTAATATATGCATTACGTATGCCCTACATCTCTTATATAATACTTGTAATTGGCGATTATCAGGGCTTTGTGTTTGATAACAAAAAATTGATTATTTGATTTTTGAGTGTATTACAACTGCAGAGCAATATAAAAAAGTAATAAAGACAACGATGTTATAATTATTATGATATGCTGGTTTTTAAATTATAACACAATTACCGTAAACGTCTTCAACTTTAGGACCGAGACTGATTGTTATTCACAAGTGACTTAATTACGTTAATACCGACGATTATACTTCTCGTCTATATGAACAATATAACATCATCGTATTTTGTCGACGACAATCTAAAAAACACGCATTTAATATTATACGTTTCTATACTACCCAATAACTCGAGGCCAAGGGCCTACCATGATGGATAGAACAAATAATAAACATTTGACACGACAAGTCACGCGTCGGGCACGTCTGAGTGTCGAAACCGTACCAATTGTAGACCTACGCCCAATTATTTCTTAACAGTGAAATAAATATGCCTACATTGTTATTACGATCCATTCGAATCCATTTCACTGCTGCAAAAGTACCAATACTGGCTGTGTGTGTGTGTGTGTGTGTGTGTGTGTGTGTGTGTGTGGTGGGAGCAGAGTAGGAGATTATTCGAAAGCATTTTCTTTTCAATTATTCGAGGTACACGTTTATTAAAATAATTATTTAGATAAAAATTCGCTAAACTCTGGGTGGGAGGAGAATGTATAATATATAGGTGTTATTTATTGTATTATTCTATTCGAAAACAGACATACTCGATTGGAAATCAGTCCGTAAATACCTGGTGGTTTTATTATAATATATTAATCTTCCTGTGTAATTACTCGTTCAGAAAAACGATCAGTTTGAGACAAGGCAATTGTTTAAGCGATGTATGTACAACTTGAAGTATTTCTATGGATTTTGGTACCTATATGTATTATGTAGTGTAAAGAGGCTGTTCAAAAAGCAGATGATGAGAATTACATTATGGGGGGGGGGGGAGAATTAAAAGTACCGAAATCACATTCAAATTTCCGTGGATGTTTAACCAAAATAATTATGACTCATGAGTTATGGCACTTGCCACTAATATACTGAACTTCATTCTTCACTAGTAACAATTTTGGAGGAAATCTCTATTGGCGAGATGGTGACATAGCAAACACAAAAATTATATCAAGTATATTTAGGTATAACATTGAAGTCAATATTTTAATTTTTCCTACGCGAATTCGTGATGATTTATACTTATAATTACGTGTACATATTAATCTACTAACGCCGATGCATAAATCTATGATTACACATCACATCAATGAAATTTCGCAACGAAGTAATAAGTTTGCCTACACATATATTGTAAAGTTATTATAATTTTAAATACACCAATACCCATGAATTCATTTTGCATTGAAAAAAATTACTGAATTTGTCAGAAAATCTATAGGGACATAGATATTTGAATAGCTGATATTTCACGAAGCTCATATGTGTTTTTTTACAATTTAAGCATTAACATTTTTTTTTTAAAAAAACACTCACATAGAACGTTAGATGTCAACCTTTCAAAGTTGGTTGGTATAATAATTTATGTGTTTGTAGATGTGTATAATGTATCATGTTGTAATTTTACACTAAAATAGTTGGTCGATCGCGATGTGTCGCCACGAATTTCGCGTATAGATTTCAACCAACAGTCTACATTACAATGTAGAAACCTATAATCCCTATACACCTAACCCAATATTATATCATTTGATTCGAACGAATGACCCGGGTTTTGGGGTGAACTCTGAGGATTTTTGCAATTTGAGAGCTTCTGACGGTGTACATTATGTACTCGTGTATATATTATATGAATATATAGGTACCTAATGTAGCTAATGAGTATAGGTGCGGATGCACGCGTAACCATCGCGTGACGAACACACACGACGCTGATCTTTCTCAAGTATATAATAATAATAATAATAATAAATATGATCTGCTTGAACGCTAATTCACAGTAATCGATGCGCCCGTTCATATTTTGTACATTGTTTATCGTTATAATTATATATTATGTTTAGGTATCTCATACGAATACGCGAATTGTGTATTATATATATAGCGCATATTTGCCTATCTCATTTGTTCGTATACGTTATAAACGGTCCCGTAGTACTATTTTTTATAATTTTTCCGAGTAAAAAAAAAAGTCGTATATTATGTAACACCACTGGAAACAATATATTTTCGATAACATTCTAGAAATTCATTGATCCAAACCGGAGTAAAATTATACCGACACTGTCCCGCACAGGGATACTGTACCAAGTCAATGGTGTAGGGCAAATATCCCGATTTTTTCACACCTATTTAAGCGAGCGAATTTCTGGATATTCTTCGATATTCTTCCAGTAGAATCCATCAAAATTTCCTCTTCTACTCTCCCGTGCCTAGATTATTTGAGTATATTCGATTCAAATCAATAATTCGATTTTTAACGCATATTCGAGATCACGAATTATACAGTTTTGTATACTAACTAGCTAAGTGTAAATTGATCAAGTCAGGTTAATTTTATGAAAAGCGAAATCAAAAATTAGCTGATATTATATCTTGTGACTGCGACATGGTTTTATATTATTATAAGTTGTTTAAGTGCATGTAAACACCGATTTACGAGGATACCTAAGTAGTATATTATATTTGTATGTTCTGAGAACTTTTTTTACAGGGAGATTTCATCAGTGTAAACAGAAATTTCTACATGCACCACCGTCTACCGTATAACACACAATCATAGAATTTTTAAAAGTGGTAATTTGTCATTAATTTATTACTCACACATGTTGGCTACACTAAACTTTTTATTCAGTTGTAACAAAATTAATTTAGCTATGCATTTCAGCAACTAATAATCCGTTGTTAAGCCAAGTTGTACTTTCATCATTTTCTTTCTCTTTAAAAATCGATTTTTTTTAAAGTTATAATTTTCAATTTCATTAAAAAAAACACGAACTTACAAAAAACTACTTAAAAATAAAATGAAAGGTTCTGTGAATATACATTAGAGAAACTCTATGATTATGTGTTGCATGATGGAACATGTAGAAATGCTATATGCTCATATGAACTAAATAAGGGACTATCGATATTTTTGAGGTCGAATAACTGCATAAAAGCACCCCGAGAACAGAAAATACCAATCACTTGGAAGTATATAGGTAAAATTAATAAATATATTATTTGACCTTATAACTTATAAGTATATACCTATACATGAAGTAGGATAACTCCAAAAAATATTATAGACGTTCGAATTTCGGTTAAAAATTTAAAACAAATCGCGTCTGTTTATATAATTATTCTAAATATACTGGCCTTGATTTCATGGAAAAAACAGAGTATGAATAAATTCAGAATTTAAACGTGAAAATGGGGGTGAGCAATGGCCACTGGGCACAAGAAATCGCCCTAAGTATATATATTTTATAACATTACTATCGTATATCATTCAGTATGTAATTTTATACTCACTGGCTGAAGGAGCGTCCATGGCCATGGCCGCGGCAGGTCCGGCGGCATCGGGATAAGCGGCGTATGCAGCTCCTCCGAGCGGCGCGGCACTTGGCGAATACGACGACGTCGAATAACCACACCAGTTGCTCGACTCGGGCACGCCGACTGGTACGTCGGAATGTTCGTCTGAAAATTTTACCGAACATTAAAACCGTATCCGTCGACATGACACGCACGCGCATCGATACTTTTATGCGTTTATAATAATTATGTTTAACATTACCTAATTACAATAATTCTTACCGTCGAAGTGCATTCTAATGACATGCACGTACAAAAAAAAAATGCACTCGTGACTTCCGAGATGCTATAAGTGACGCAGCGGCGGGCGAACCGGACAAGTCCCGGACCGGTGGGAAAATTTAGAATTTAGATAGTGGCAACGAAAATAATGTATACGAATTTTAGGGATCGCTGCATCAATCGCAATAATTCTTTCACGAGTCTCATTTTAAGAACATAATATTAATATTAATTGTTATTAATAATATGTAGCATTGACCTTTTAATTACGCTGATTCTCGTACACACAGTGATGTTTATTGGTAGATACCCCACGCAGTTGGTCTTTAAGTTCGCATCTTTCATATTATATTATGTAATTTTAAATAGTATCTACCTAGTATGTACGATATTGGCATATTAATAACATATTTTAATGAATACTTCAGAACCAAACTTTTGACATTTGAAAATGCGTAAAGTTATTAAAACTAAAAAATAATTAAAAAATATTATACTAATTAGGTTGTAAAGTAATTAAAAGTGGATACCTATTCGACACAAGTTTTTAAACACAATTTTGAATTTTCTTATGTACCTATGTACCGTACCTACATAATTAAATCAACATTTAAATTAATAATGCGATTTGTTATAATTCCGTGAATGCTTGTGACAATATAAGTAATTTGTTAGCAGAGAATATACATAATCGATAACTTGTATGAGACCCTCCATAATATCATTATGTAGGAGCCTACCATTGTACCGGCCCCAAAACCTAAACATCAGAAGCTGCCCAGTGGGCATTTGCTAATTTTCCACTTGGTCAACGGCCTGACCTAAGCCCTGGATGAGACGCAAATCGTTAACTGTGCTTTAAATGTAGTGTAAGTTATATTAATATATTATATATGTTACGGGCAAAGTGGAAAATTCGGACAATGTATACAGTGACCGGGCATTGTGAAGTATTTATACAAATAATCTGCATAAATACATTATGTTTTTATTGCAAATTATTAATATTACATTATTATACATAATTAAATAATCATCAAAATAACATAATATATAATATATTAATATTATTTTTTTTCTTATAAAGTATAAATAGTTATATGTTACGTCTATCCTTTGGTTAAACACTTATGACATTTTGTGAATGCACTATATATCCCAATAACGAAACCGATAAATATTTTATCTCATATAATTTTGGTACGTACAGTTATTTACTTTAGTTGTAGTATACTGTCACTCAGTTTATATTGTGCAGTGCTTAAATAAACATTTATTTATTTTAATTAAATAAATAATTTAATTTAATTTTAATTTTAATTAATTAGTATAAATAGTATAGTAGTTTATTGTAAAAAAATAACATTAATATATTATATTATGTTATATTGATGATTATTAATTATGTATAATAATGTAATATTAATAATTTGCAATAAAAATATAATATATTGTGCAGATTATTTGTATAAATACTTCACAATTTACATTGTCCGAATTTTCCACTTCGCCCGTAACATATACACTCATAAATCTCACCGGTAGAATTCAGGGTTGGGAAGGGGTGGTTCTTTGACGAAGGCTGGTACCTATATAATAACATCATCAATTTCATATATTTTATTATTGTGATGGTAATAATCATGATAATAGTATAAATATTTAATTCACACGAAACAGGCGCATATATTACCTATTATTATTACAATCGTACGCTAGTTAAACAGGTGTCCCGCGGCCCGAAAGAGAAGACGGACGGACGACAAATTGAACGAGACGCGGCGCGAGTACATCATTATTATTGTTATTATTATTTTTTTTTTTACTATTATTATTATTATTATTATTATTATTGTTATAATATGCAGTACCCACTCGAAAACACAATTGTGATAAAGTCGTCGTCGTCGTCGTCGTCGGAACATGCGGCAACGGCGGCGTCTCCTGCGCGGGAGACTCGCGCGAGTGTATTAAAATATATTTGTAATAATATAATGGCTCATTAGTCATTGTCGTCAAATCGGAATGATGCTCGGACGGAGAAGAAAAGAAAACATGTTAATAATAAAATATTTTTTTATAAAAAATTAATATAATCACTGCTGCAGCAGTAACAACGCTACGAGAACCCGTTACAGCCGGTATACACACACACAGCCACACAGGTATGGTCCCATTCATTGTGCACCATAATAAAATATAATACATATGTATAGAATAAAGTATAGGTACACAGGTATAGACCGTAGATACATTTTTTCGGCGGCAAATAATTAATGGCCGACTGCGCTAAGGACATGCGATATTTCACGCGTCGAAAGGATCTCCGTCGTCGTCGTCGTCGTCGTCTCTTCATATATCGTGTGTGCCATGTGTGTGCTGTGTGTCTGTGTGACTGTGTATGTGTGCGAGGGCGAGCTGCACGTGAGGACAATGCCTCGGGGCGAAAACGAAACAATATAATAATAATTTAATATAATAAAACGTTTGAAGAAATAACACGAACACTTGTCGGGCGCTCGTGTACTTGTTGTTATATTGAAGGCATAAATATATCATACACATATACCTAATATTAATATAACATATAATGTAGAGTCGTTTTGGGAGTAAAAATAATTTACGAAAATAAATCCTATGGAAATCGTCGAGTTTGTGACCAGAGGGCCCCGCGGAGATGTGCAACGCGTACTGTTACATTGTTGTACGTAGGATATGTGTGCGGTTGAAAAATCGACGGATCTATCGTATAATATAGTCCGCACTGCGATGCGATGATGATGATGATGACGTCGAGTCCGTATATAATAGAATTGGACGTGTTATAGGTATATACAAATTACAAATATTGTACAACATAATGTATAATGAATATATGTGCTTTTTTTGAGTTAAAAGTGCGCGACCTGTGAACAGCCGTTTAATATTCACGAGTCGAAGACCCGCGAGTGGTGTTTTACCGAGATTTATGATACCGCTCTCGGTTTTTCTTTTTCTTCGAAAACTAATGTATATATATTTATGTACCTACGCGCGGAAAGCATTCGTCAAAAAGTATTTCGTATGTATATATTCATAACAATATATCATATTATAGGTGTACCAGGTGATCATTAATCGAAGTGCGAAAACGATATATTATATCGACCGACCATTTTATCGTTTACATAATATTATATACTTTCATTGTACATAATATAATGTATTATCCAAACAACCTAGCACGTCCGATAATATATCGACTTTAACGCCTACGACTTGCCTAAACAATATAATTTATATCATAATACGGTATATGCGCTTATGCATTGATATATCTAAACGCAGTTGAAAAATATGTACTTGAGTTTTGTTGTGATTTGCAATTTTTCAACAAGTTTGGTTCATATTTTACGGAGGTTTAGTCAAAATTAAGGAACAGTCGAAATGTTCATTGTTCACCTCTAAAATAATTATTATTTGAAATTATGATTTCTGAAACAATAGTGCATGTATTTAAAACAATATAAACTTCTACAATTTTTCATCATCGATCAAATAAAATATTGCACTTAAAATTTCAAAAGACCGATAGTAATTTGTAAGGATGATGGATAAGAAATAATTTTTTCAAACATACATATTGCAGTTTAACAGATTTTGATGTTCCTACAAGAAAAAAATTAAAAACCATACATCACTGCACCCTAATTGTTTTGCTAACACGAATTTACAGTACGCAGAGAAATCCGTCCATCTATATTATAAACAATATGTATAATCTGTATTATGAAATATATTAGAATAAATTATAATTTTCGATATTAGAATCTATTGCAATTTAAAACCTAGGCATATCCATTACTTACACCCTACAAACAAACCAAATCAATAACGAAACTGTGCATTAAAAAAATAAGACGCATATGTGACCTTATAAAAACAAGAACCAGAGCTACTACCCGTATATTATAGTTTATAATATATATATAGTTAGCACATGGTTACATCTGGCCGTAATAATTGGCCAGACGCAATGTCAGACATGGCGAACTATATAGGTAATGTGTGTAGTATTGCAAATCAATATCTACACGAAAACCACAATAATAATATAATAATGTCTTATGTGTAACATATTATATTGTAATATTGTATGGCAAATGATTTAATTCCACGTAAACAAAAACAATCATTTTTAATGTGTGTGCTCAAAACTTAGACCAATCGCTCTCGTATGTGTTTATAGGTTATAGGTATAATATTTATAAGAGTAGGTAACTTAATATACAATATTATGTTTGGTTGATGGTGTCCATTTGTAGAACAGCTGATTAGATATACTATACTTCGTATTATTTTTTCTTCTTCTTTTTCGTGACCTCGGCCCTCAAGACCATGTCGTTCAACATCTTTGTCTCCAAATTTCCTTATCCATTGCTAACTTCTTCCAATCCATCCCTGGCCTCACTTTCTCTATGTCCTCTTGACCCTATCTTCCCAGCTTAGTCTAGGTCTTTCAAGTAGTCGTTTTCCTTGTGGTACATTCCCCTGTATACTGTTCTTACCAGTGATCTTGTATTTCGCAAAGAATGACCTGCCTACTTCAGCCTTTTTTTGGTGGTATCTTCTTTAATGCTTGGCCTTTGATACAATTCCTGAATTTTCCAATTTTTACGTATTCTCCATTCACCTATGGATTCGTCTTTACGTGGTCCATACATTTTCCTCAGTACCTTTCTTTCAAACAATAATATAGCATTTTCATCTATTTTCCTTAAGATCAAAGTTTCAGAACCATGTGTATCATAACAGACTTGATATATTTGGGACTTCAGGTTTCTGGAAATTAATCTGGATCTTTGTAACTTTGTCAAGCTAAAATAACAGTTATTGCCAGCTCG